GGGGTAGGGGGAGGGGTAGGGGGGGGCAGTCAGAAGTCCAGAGACTGGGTTGAGGCTTGAATCGTAAAAAAAGAAAGAATGGGATAGGGGGGTGGGGGGGCGGGGGTAGGGTAAGGGGGGGTCAGGTTTCCAAAAAACTGGGCTGGCTGGTCAGAGGCCTAGGAACCGGGCAACCAAAACGGGCGGGGCGGATATGCTTTGACAGTTTTGAATCGTTAAAACAAAGAAAGAATTTGGTTGAATTCTGGTCGGGATAAGGGGGTGGGGGGGTGGGGGGAAGAGGCTTCACTGTGCGCACGCCGGCGGATTCATTCATTCATTCCCATCCGACTCTTAGGCTTGTTGGCTTGGGCAACTATCCTGGCTCAAGCTAGTGTTGGGGTGGCGAACTCTTTGACCGCGGGAGAGGGAGCAGAGCTGCTGCAAAAGGGTTCAGGGCTTGGGGCTTAGGATTTTGAATCGTACTCCCACCCCCACAATCATTCTGCATGCAGCGCCCCGAGGACAATCCACCGCCACCCGAAGTTGCTGGCCGTGTGATCCAGCGCGAAGATGACACCCCTGAGAAGTTTCTGGGAAGCAAGTTTCGGAGGAAAGGTAACTATTTAAAGCCTCAACCACCTACAAGTGGCATTTGGCGTAATTGCGCAGGAGAAAAATCCTAAGGTAGTTCATCCAGACGGCACAAGGATGGAACTCTGCGACTTTCACTCAACATGCTTGGCTAAGCGTGCTTCAGCTGCTGGGTCACGCAGCTCTTCAGCTCAGGATCCGCAGGCGTCTTGTCACCTACCACCAGGCAGCTGGGGCACGTGTCCAACATGCACAGATCATGTACCTCACAGGGTGATCGTGACGCTAAGCCCATGAACCTCAACCCCAACACCTAATTCTTACTTGATTCGTCGGATGTCGGGAGCCTCCAGCCCTTACAGGTTATGAGAGGTGCTTGAAGCTGACCGTGCCTGCTGCGCGACACGCATGTTGATTTCTTATCTGAGAGAGCGACGGCAAAATGAGCCTCAAGGAGCGAGACGCCATCCTCAATTTCTGCCGGGAGCGGGCTGGATGCTCAGATTGACCACAAATCGAGTTCGACCCCGGTTCCAGGGAAGGTGTCATAATGCGGGGACATGCGGGGACTGCCTGGCAGAATGTTGACAGCATCTTCCATAGACAGAAGGGCTACGGAATCAGCACAAGTATGTCAGCGCTCTTTAAGGACAGGCTATACTTATAGCACATTTGGTCCAACCATGCGCTGCTGAAACCTTGCCCATCCTGAACGAAGTTTGAGGTGAGGACCATCCATGTTGGGGACAACACTGACGAGGCTGTGCAAGTGGAAGGTTGCAAGGCAAAAGCCAACCCAGCAAATCAGAATCCACCTGGCATCCTGTTAAGTGAGTCGATGGGGAACCTACTTCGCCGGCCAAAAGTTCGACCCACGGTCAATATTAGCAAACCTTGTCCCACTCAGCTACAGATGCAACCCCGTCTCCCCCGAAGACTCCTAACGAACCTCCACCGGAACTAAATTAATTACTCTGCTAGCAGGGCCAATGGAAATGGCCTTTGGGACCCCGCTGCTACCCCGCGACGGCTTTGTATATAAGTAGACGTGCTACATGGTCAAGTAGCTCAAAACTCTCGGCCCGACGATATAGTCACCGAATTACTTACTGGTGGTTCGTAGGGAATAAAGGAATATAATCCCTCTACATATATAATCCCCATATAGTATGTTCGCTAATTCCTACAAACCCCCAGGAAGATTAAATGCAGTGTGCAGCAGGCTTTGCCGGCCGATGTGCGGCCCCTCCGGGTTTTCGATGAGGTGAGGAAGGCAATGACTGCAGCATTTGTTGTTCTGGAACGGTGTGACTTATGTCTGGGCTGCTGTTAAGGAACGTTATATCGCAAATAGTAGGGTTCATTTGTTATTCATGGGTTGCTGGTAAGGAACTTAAATGAGGTGTGGGGCCTAGTGTAGGGTTTAGGGTAGGTCATTTCATAAGTTCCTCAGCAGCAACCCAACGGTGGGACTGATGATCCGTAACATGAGGCAGTGGAGGGCGACACGTACTGGGGCTCGGTGATTCGCTCCGAGATCATTGCCAAGGCTTGACATTCATGAGTTTGCCACCCTGCAATTAATCGGATGATCAAACATGTCTTGACAACATTTGCACCGGGTGGAGCTGTCTCGGTGAGCAGCTTGAGCTGTATAGCATGATGTGTGATGTCATCAACCATAAGAATGTCACAGACAGGCTGCGACCCCTGCCAAAAGCCCTCACAGCATGTAGTCCAGACAGTCATCGTGATTTGCCCCTCGATTCATTCCTTGAGGTAGCAGATGGCAGCTAGCACACAACGTTCGACAAACGATGCAATTGCTCTGCCGAGTGCGCAACCCAACCCATGCACTCTCCCACATGCAGCATCCTCGGCAATCACAGCCAAAAAAAATTGCCAAGCCATGCAGCGATAAAGCGCCTGCGAAGCGGCCATGGTGGCAGACTCGGAGAAAAGCGTGGTAGTGCCTCAACTGCACATTGCCTGGTATTGCAGGACCTTGCGAAGGGATGGGCTACGTCTGTTAGGTACTATGCGTCCTTTCCATATATGTCTTATGTAGAGACGATTACCGGCAGCGGTCTTGGACGCCGCCCTGGCTGGTAAACACAAATCAAAGAGAGTTGCCAGATTCTTGAGTAGCATCACCACCCAATATAAACCCCAAAACACGATAATCCTTATTATGGGGACCCCCCAAAAAAGGTACCCCCAATTTTTAGAAACCCCATACAGTAGCTGTTGGATGCATGAAGTGGCCGCCGAAGTCCGAAGCTGAAGCACTGCAACGGATAGGGGGGTTTCCCACAATGACGGGTACCCTTCAAAAGGGGGGTTATATAGGGGTAATATAGGGATAATGGAAAAGAAAATGGACTACTACTATTTAGGGTTTAGGGATTAGGGTTGTATGGGGGTTTCCCAAAATTAGATGTACCACTTTGGGGGTCCCCATAATTAGGATCATTGTTTTTTCGGGTTTATATTGGGGTCCCCTATTTATGGAAACTACCATACTGTTTCTTCACCGAAGTTGACTTGACACTTGATTCCTCCCTGTTTGGATCTTGCAGTAAGATTTCGTGCCACTCAGGTTCCAGTTCTCATGGTGTTCGGGGGTTGCATGGGCGCCATCGTTGCCATGGAGGTGGTGTTGAAAGCGGATCCAAAGTAGCTGGCTCAGACCACGCAATCTGCCAGGAGCTGGAGCCAAAGCTGATTCGAAACAGATTTATCTGTATTGGGATAATGGAAAAGAAAATGGAAACTACTATAATGGAGAATCAAATGGAAAAGAAAATGGAAAATGAAATGGAAACTGGGATTATTATTGGGTTGTTAAGGAGTTTAACTTTCGCTGCCAGAAGAATACGGGTACACGGTAACATGATAGGGTTTCTTGATTATAGTATGTAATTTGAAAAAATCTTTAACAGCAACCCTGTAGCGTTAGTGACGTACTTGGAATGCTTCTCGGGTAGGATTGCATTGCGCAAAAAGCTTGTCCCCAAAGCATACCTCTTGTCTGCATTGTCTGCATTGTGTGCATTGTGCAATCAACAGTGGCACAGGCACAGATTAGATGGTTAGAGGCCCGCTGGAGACGCTCCCAACTTAGTTCAATCTAGCAAGTGAGGTCGGGAAATCTGTTGACTCTCACTGCCGCACCTTGGCATTCTCAAGGGAGTCCCACAGCAGAGGTGTGCACTTAAGCTGTTCTGCTGCAGCAGGAGCATCGAGTTGATACTGCTATGCTACAAGACAACACGTAGACCCTCTTCACTTAGCCCTTTTTGGCGTGCAACTTCGTCTTCTTCTGACGGATGAGGCTGAAGGTGGTGTCCAGGCAATCTGCCAGGGAGTCACATGTTTAAACCAGCTCTGAAGGTTCTTATGGTGCTTCTCCAAAGCCTACCAGGCCAACCTGGGCGCTTCTTGCAGTACGCCCCTCCCCCCTAGTATTGGATATTCCCATAATATCTTGTAATATAGTATGCCACAATTGCAATCTAATATTGGGGGAGGGGCGCCAGCTTGCTTCAAGTCTGAAGACGTTTTCAGCTCTGGGAAGCCGGTGGTAGCTGGCTTCAACTTAAGCAACACAAAGTTTAAGGGGATACCGCTATGGGGCTATATGGGGATGGTATAGATGTACGGCAAGGCGACGTTAGGGATGCCATGCAACTGGCTCGTGGAAGGCCGGATTCAGTGCTGGGGCCTGAAACCCCTGGCCGCACCTCTGACGAGTCACGCGAAATTCTCGGCGCTTTGGGTTTCCCGGCTGAATATATGCATATGCCCTATTAGAACATAGTAGTTTCCTATATAGCCCCGACAAACCCTACTGTATTACAGTAGTTTCCATTTCATTTTCCACTATCCCAATATATCCGAATATGACCCGTATATAGCCCCAATATATACCCAGCAGGCTTCGGGAACTGTTGGGGAAGCTTGGGGAACGATAAAGTTTGATCTGGTAGCAACCTTTAACAGCTGGCAGATTCGGCTCATACTTATAGCTAGCGCGATGCATCCTACATTGTAGAACTCCTTGGTCTACTGGTTTCGGGCGTCTAGGAGCGATGTTTTGACTCCTTGGGCTTGTTTTGGCGAGCTCAGGGGGTTTCTGCAGCTAATGGGATGCAGAATCGTCAGCACTCGCCGAGGTGTCCATGTCTGTCCTTGCCAACTATGCCTTTGCTTACAAAATCAGCGTGGCCATTTTCACGTTGCACCTTGCCTGCAGCTGAGCTTTCAAGCCCAGAGTGCAGCTCTCTCAGCTCGCTTCGCTGTCTGCAGACGTTCCTACCGAAAGATGGCCGTTGGTATTTGACACCGTGTGCCAAATGCAGGGCATTCTTAGCACATCCATCTGTCTTAGCTCGAAACGTTTTGCTTGCTGCAGTCATCCCCACTCAAAGTCCTAAAAGCCAGCCAGGATCCGGTCTTGCAACATCATTGCCACTGTCCTGCTGGGCTATACAGTCTTTGGGCAACGCTTCTCCATAGCAGCTCATGCTGCAAACAATGAAGGTTCTGGGTTGGCTGTCAGGACGAAAGGACCTTACCTTGTGAAGGCTGCCAGATTGAGCACAGATGCCTTCATGTAAGGAACAGTTGCTCTGCGTTTTGGCCGTTACTGTGGGCATCTTCCTCGCCTCCATGGGCGTGCCTGGGAAAGAAATCCCATGCATGTAGATTTTCATGTACAAGTGTATGTAGAATGTAGATGTATACATTCACTCTGCCATGTCCAAAGTCTGGTTCGTGCCTTTTGCTCTCCTACTTTGGAGACGCCGGGATTCAGACCCATACATGCATCCTGCGGAGACGGTACTGCAATGGGAAAGAAGTCAGAAGGACGCCAACTACTTTGCATGCACCATTCAGCAGTCACGCTATATTCCAAAGGCCATTTTTGCCAATAGCTGGAATTCGGCATAGGCCCATGTTCACCAATAGCTGGATCCAAGGAGATCAGGACGCTGAACACCAGCGGGCCCACTTCGACTGATTGCAGCTCCTTGTCTGCATGAGCTTACGTGGTTGGCAGGAGGTGGAGCCCTATAGTAAATCGTCCTCAGAGAACCTCCAGTAATACTTAAAAATCCTACTGTATTGTATTCCATTCCTTGGTTCCCTTCCATTCCCTTAGTCCCCTCTAACCGCCAAGGGCAAGCTTCCTGGACCAAGAAATTCTCAGCAGCTCTCTGGAGCTTGAAATGCTCGGCTAAACCTCCACCCAACAGCCTGATCACGCTTTACACTATCTGTCGAAATATATATATATATAGACTTTTAGTATGGATGATGCTCCCCAGATTCCCTATCTTCCTATACTGCTCAAGACTTCACAGAAAAGATGCAACCTCTCATGCGTGCATGATAACGCTTTACGGTTTTCCTGTAGACAGGTTTTCTTGAGCTGAAAACCATGGCTGATTTGTTTTCCAGCTTTTGGTATTCCGAAACTCATGCGATGAGTCCTTCATGTTCTCTCATTCCAAACAAACTTCGGCTTGTGATTTTTGACATCGATGTTTGAGAGATCTGTCTGACTTGGTATTCATGTCCAAGGCTCAGAGTTCGTCAGAAATATTTTTGTTCCACCCTGGGGAATGAGCGGAGTGCTCATGCTGGCAAGAATTCCCCCCCTTTCCTGCCTCGGGGATATGTGGGTGTCATGCATCTGGATTTTCCCTCTCGACACAAGCGAGAAAAACAGAGCCTGTGTCCAAGTGCTGTTGCATCCAGTCTCATGTTTGTGGTTGAGTGCAAGTTTAAGATATGTTTTGAACATATTTCTGATGAATATTCTCTCGTGCAAGTTATGAGTTTGGAATGGAATACACTCAAATCAGCCAGTTACATATACGGTACTGCCAAGGCAGAAAAAAAACGAGAAACACCAGTGCTTTCTTTCTTTATCAGCAACTTTTCTGGTTGAGGTTATCGAATGGAATGAGGACATACGTTTATACATATATATATATATACGTATATATGTATATATGGTATGCTCCTTGGTAGTTGGGGTGTTTGGATACGGCATACACTAGGAAGAGTTGAGAGAGAGGGGATCGGGATCGGGACCCAATTCGCCATGGACGCTGTTTGAGGCGCAATGGGCACATGCCATGACGCCCAGACATCGCCAGCCCCTGCGGAGGGTGATGCCGGGCACTTGGCTTCGATGGGAGTCGACCATGTCAAGGGCTGTATCACTAGTAGAGCTGCTTTCTTTATTGTTTTCCTTCTTGTTTGTGTGGTACCCATGTTAAACATGGTATTGCTGCTCCTATGTAACTCTGCGGCTGCTTCAACTCCAGCCTGTGATGCTGCTGTTACAGCGTTGCGTCCGCCTCCGACAACACGAACAGCAAACATGGTACCTGAAGCTCCTCCTCTGCTCCTCCGCTTCGCCGTTAAGTGCTGCTGCTGTGCACAAGCTGCTGCTAGCTGGTCGTTGCTATTTGCACGCTCCTCGAATATGCACGGCGTGCTACCCTCCAAGGTGGAGATCGCTACCTGGGCCATTGGCATTGCAATGCTGGCATTCGTGCAGCTTCTGCAAGGCCACAGCCGAGGAGTTGCAATGTGCGGGTGGTGACCTTCCATTGCCATGTCAGGCTTCCTTGGGCATGTTCAGTCCACCTACTACAAGATATACAAGGTCGGACTTTCTGCTGAGTATTGATGGTACAGAGATGGTATTCGACAGTTGATGCAAGTCAGACTTGTGTGTGACGATTGCTCGAGCAAACTGAGCGTCAATGCGCCATCCTCTCTGTTGCTGAAGTGCTTGCATTGAGAGATGCAACCACGGGCACAGGACCTGGCCCCCAAGAATGAGCTGTGTGACGAGTTCCTGTTTACTTCACATGTGATGGCTGCCTGTCCCAGTGAGAAGGTCAAGTCAGATGCGGAGCAAGCGGAGTCTGCTGAGACTACCACATACACGGGTATAAGTCAACATCAGCACCCCTGCGCAAGTCCCAAGAAGTCAAACCCTTGCGAGAAAACACGTGATTTCCACATATACCCCTTCCTGGGGAAGGCAGGGATATGGCTGCATTGACGTTGCCAATGCTGTTGCGTTCCCGAATGCATTCACTCAGGCTTTACTGCCCCTCCTGTGCTTGAAGGATGACATCATGGCAGCTTTTAGCTCAGCTCCGGCAAAAGCAGCAAGACTTGCTTGTGCTTGATCAGGGCCTAAGTCAAGGAAGCTGACAACAACCGAAGCCCACAAGACCCGAACGCAAAGCCAGCATGCGAATCCAAGTGCGCAGTTTCAAACTTCTCTTTGATGCATGAGGCAGCGAGCAATGCCCTGGTGTCCGAGCCCGTGCCATACCTGCCCTTCCACCTCCCAGTTCAGATTCTTTGGTTGCAGCTCTTCTGAAACTCAGACACTCGTAGATTGCATGGATGCTCGACTCTAGCTGCTAAGCTGCTAGACTTGCCACGGCTCAGATGAGATCGCAGATGAGGTTGGTCAACAATGTGTCACAGACCGTATGCCTCAAGGGGGTGTTCCGCACCAGTGCGACAGTCACCCCGCTGGCACTGACGATCATACTCTCCGTGAGGAAATTCCTCTCCGTGGTGGCACCTCGGCTGCCCAGCAGATGAGGGATGAAAACTGGTCTGTCATCTTCGCCGCAACAGGCTTGCGGGGCTTCATCTTCAGAAGCCTTGCTTCCCGTTGCATGCCACTGGCAGAAGTGGGGAAAAGCGTGAGACATTTTGCCAGGATAATCTGGTGGTTTGGGGCAAGATGTTCAGCAACTACGCAATGGTCCACTTAAGTCATGTAAACAAGCACTACATTAGCACCCAGGGAGGACAACAGTGAGTTCGCATGTGAATGATGGCCTCCCCTTTCCAGCTCCTGCCTTTGCCACTTACCGCCTCAGCCAGGTTTCCATAGTGCTGTTCAGCAACCCATGGACAATCCAGCACAGCGTGGCGACAGCGTCCAGGCTGCATGCAAGTCTGAGAGTGGCAACAGGCAGCATGTTAATCATGTTTAGAAGGGCGAATGGACAGAGTAGCAGTAGCAATCGAACCTTCTTCCCCATGAACATCATGACCGGTGGCAATCAACCAGCAGACGGCAGAAGTATCAAATTTCTTCCCCGAGCCATCCTGAGGTTACATCCAGGACTGACAGAACTGGCATGCTGTGGCTTACCCTAGCTTCTTCTCTACCATAGTCCACCACTTCACTAAAGATTGTTTGAAGGCCGGCATGTCTTGAAGTCAAAGGTGCTGATCTTTGGTGGTGCCTTCGCCTACTCTCAAGTGCCTGCGGCCGCGCCTGCATCTGGGCAGAAGGGCTCACTAAATACCACACTCAAGCAGATGAATTAGCACAGTGCCAAGAGATCCGAGCCCAACAGGAGTGCTGAGATTCAAGATGTTTTGAGATCCTTAATCTGCCGGGCATTTGCATCGTCGAAAGTGCTTTGAAGTGCATGCAAGAAGCTCGTGGAGCTCGGCACGCACCAGCCAGCTTTGGTCTCTACCGAGGCAACAATTCGAGCGGATAAGAAGTCTGATTGATGGCGGCGAGCTGCGATCAGACCACACTTGAAACTGCCGCAATCCAGGAGACCAGTACCCCTCAGCTTTGGAACCAGATTGAAACTCGCGGAAGCAGATCATGGAACAGTATTCTTTGGTTTAAGGGGTACTGGGCTCTCCAGATAGCAGGCTGCAGCAAAGCCTGCAGGACATGTTTCGGTTTGTTCCGCAGAAATGGGGTCTGCACCCTATGGATTGACAGCAAAGCTTACGCGGCACCACATGCCTGCTCTCCATACGTACAGGATACCAGTTAGGAGTTTCCATAATTACCCGGCCTCATATAGGCCCCATCATACTACTATCATCCTTGTCTTCGGGACGCCCAGGAAGGGACTCCCCCCAATTTTTGCTTCTTTTGACTACGGCTTGATAGTTTGGACCCATAAATTGACCTTCAAGATATTGCAGTGGTGGTCGTTAGAATGTGACTGTCACAGCCATAGCCATACTCTTCGCTAGCACATTTCCAAAGTCCTACATGAAGCATCATTCCATATCACCATAATCAGGCCATGTCCGTCATGACTGTTGTGTCAGTTTTGTGCAGTGACTATTGACGTTTGCAAAGGTAAGTCAAGATTCCCGTGCCATGACCTAGGACCTAGCATCGTCTGCCTGCCAGGCATTCGAGTGTGGCTCGGAGTCTACGACCTTGATCAGTGGTGAGCTTGGCATCCTATGATCTTACCGGGAGTTAGAGGGGAGTAGGGGAATAGCAACTAACCCTGAGCAAGTCATTCCCACATGTCTTTGCACTGCCACAGGGACAATGCTCGGATAGACTTAATTAAGAAGACATGACAAGATTGATGCAGTTTGGGAGGTCTTGCTGCTGAGCACTGAGGCCTAGCACGCTACTTTGAGCATGCCCGCTACCGCCTGGTTCAGCCTCTTGGGTGATACTAGCTTGGTGTGGGTGCTTGGGTTGGGGTCCTGTAGGTCTTTTTGTGAGCAAAAGCAGTAAGCACCTGATTAGCCAGACCGCTGCAACAGTCTCAAGACATCTCTCGACGGCAACAGTGAGTGGGGGTGGGGAACAGTCACTGTTGGACCCCATGCCTGCCCACACTGCCCTCGAGCACAACTGCTTGTAGCGACTCCTTACCCCGCGGTTCTCCTCGTATTTCGCCATCATGCAGTCACAAAACAAAACGATCTGTATCCATAATCAGGAGGAGCATTTAAAAGGGACCTGTCCTTTCCAGAATCCTGCCTCCCCATGAATCTCTAGATGCCCATGGATTCCAGCCCGAGCCCCATAGATTCCAAGAATCCTCACGTACCCTGGCCTGACGGACCACAGACACCTGGAGGAAGGGCTGCCTTGCAGACGCGGCTGCAAAAGTGGATCGCATCCTGCTCCGGTCGCAGGCGATTGTTGAAAGCTGTTGGGACAGCGTACACACCTTTCCGCCGGGATGTCATTTGGGGAACGCTAGGAGTATTGACAGAAAAACAAACGGAAGATTTCAGAAGTTGGGGCGGTCCCTCGCAGGAATCGTTCTGGTGGGGAATTACATTATGGGCTTTGGAGCATGCTTTGTTGCAGACCCATGTGTCCTCCAGGCATAGTGCTTCATGTACACAGAAGAGGGATACACCTTGGGAAACTTCCAGTTCGGTGGAGCCAGTCTTTGCAATGAGTGCTGGCTGGCAGAATATGCAAACATGTACGTATATAGATATATAGATGTGCATACACATGAGGAACAGTCAGTATTCCCAACCGCCAGATGATCTCTCGGGCGGACATGACTTTCGCGGCTGGTGCTGCAAACCCCGTATGACAGTAGGGGAGAGAGCAACAAACGAGAACCAGCATGCAGCGAAAGGGGCTGCTCAAGAGGTGTTAAGTAGCCATTCCTTCGAAATAGGCCATGCTGAATAACATAGCCCAATCAAAAACGATATCCCAAGCCCATGGTCACGAGCCAGGTATAGACGTTCGAGAGTAGCTGATACTTACAGTACATGTTCACATGCACGTAAACGCACATATACATATATATATACACACACACACTTAGATCTATACGCATGTGTACATAATGGATGTACATAGCCTATCTGCGCATGTATATGCATATATATATATATGAATCTACATGCATGCATGTATGTTTTCAAGCCTTGGTCAACGTGTCTGCGACGCACGGAGTCACAACAATTGACCAAATTCAGCTGTCAAGTTTGGGAGCTCTCCATTCAGCTATCCAAACCGGTAATTCCCAAGATTTAGGATCTACCTTGCATGCCCCGGAATATCTTGAGGATCCTACATCACTACAGAACCCTGGCTACTGTTGGAGTCTTCATTGTTTCCTGATCCGTGCTCCGCGATCCTTATTGGGGCGTATAGTACCCCCTTGAATGCGCGCTTTTTGCTGGAAAACCTTACCCTAAGGGCCCAAAGATCCAAACAATAGGGTTTTAGGGCCCAAATATTCAAATGGTGATGGTATTTGGGCCCTAAACCCCTATTCTTTGGGTCCTTGGACCCTCAGGGGTTACCTACAATAATAAGAAAAAGATAACAAAAACGATAAGATAAGGTCCAAGACTTGGGAAAATGAAATGAGGAAAATAGAACGAAAACAACATTTCGAGTCAAGCAAAAGGGAACGCGGTTCTTGGTACAACCTCATATATGTGCCCCTCGTTTCTTGTCAACAATGGATACTAGCGAAGAATGCTTGCAGGCGGATGTGAGTATTTCTCGAAAAGACACAACAAGTCCCCAGCAGGTCTTGCAAGTACTTCGCACGCTCGAGCCGCTTGTAGCTTGTCTGCAGGGAATGATATTAATCCGTTTATCCCTTCCCCAATGTGTTGTAAATCCTTCCATTATTGTATCCTGGTATCGAGCCTACACCCACGGTGGTTTTAGATTCCTGCAAACTTTGGTTCAAGAGCGCATCAACCCCCTTTCCAAGAAGGTGGGTGGTTTGGAAAGCCCGTCTTCGTGTATGGTTGCCTGCTTTGTTTTTGAACCCCCTTTACCACTTACCTATTGACCATGTTCACACAATGGCTTTTTGATGGATTAGTTGCATACTGTATGGAAAATCCTTGCAGCACATCCATTTTGGACCATTGGACCATGCTGACTGCAGCGAGTCAAGTGCTTCAGGCGCAGTACGAGCTGCGCACCTGGCTTGACAAGGCTCCTTTGCCACCCCGCAAGAGTAGCGATGCTGTAGTTGTAGCAGGCTGTGATGTCGAAAGACCCTGAAGTCTTCTGCTTGCTGCCGTGAACGCGAAGGTAGCAGCAGCATGAGCCAAATATTCTAGGCCTTGGTCTTTTGATTTTTGGAGTCTTACCGCGAGGCGCTTTTCATGAAGGGGACTCCCGAAGCATCCTTGGCAAGGTGCGACAGCATTCCGTGCTGGTGGGCCACGCCATCACCCAGCGGGATGCAAAGGGAGAAGTTGCGCCCTGCCCGCCCTTGGTGAGTTTCGACTGGCTAGACAAATCTTGACCGAAACTTGTTTGGTGCTGCCCATGATGGTGGTGATTGCGACGTGTTTGGTGATGACCTCGCATGTTCTAATGCAAGCTGTGCTTCCCGGCAACACACAAGAGCTCAATCCTGAGGTGCATGTGGCGCAGGGCTGGGCCGTGCTGGTTTTCGTGCGGGGTGGTGACAGTGCGATGGAGGCCTTCCGCTGATGCTGGCATAACCTCGTTGAAGCAGGCAATTCCAGGTACCCATCGCCATCAGGGCTCATGAGAACTCATTATACTTTGGACGTACTCAAAGCAGCCTACATTGATTCAGCACCAAAGCATTCTGTTAATTAAAGTTTATGATTAAATCTGCTGTATTTGCACGGATCTGCTCAGACTTTCTTTGTACATGTGGAGAACGAACTTCTTGATTCCCTTGATTTTCAGGTGCCCGATGCACCGCGCCTTGCCGAGTTGGCGCTACCTGCCCCGGCATCTGCTCTCAGTGCTGGCTGGGCTGCTACTTGGATTCGATGGGAGGTTCAGGGTTGTTAGGGTTCAGCATCTGAGGCGGAAGGTTGAAGACAGTGTGGCTTGTACCTGGAAAGCGTTAATTTCAACGAACTTGAACTAACTATCACAGTTTCAGAGTATAACACCCTTGTACTGATAACCTCCGGAGATATTCGTAGCGACACAAGGCTCAGGCAACACCAGACAGTACGGTCTTCAACAAAGTGCTACCAGGCCGCTGGTCAAGTCCACGTCATGCCAATTCAATCTATGGGCTAATTGGGGGTTATATTGGGGCCATATTGGGATAACGGAAGTTAGACTGGAGACTACTATAATGGGGTTATATAGGGTTTAGGGTCTAGGGTTCTCTGCTGACGCGGCGTGTCCGTGCAAAGTGTGTGGCAGGCTGTCGTGGGGGTGAGGTGAGTCTTTCGAGGCCAGTGGAGTCAGAAGATGTTGTACTTCATTTGGTAGTCTCATGTACATAACTCCTAGGACCCCCATTGTGCCGCCCCAAATATTATGATCCTCATTATGGGGAGCCCCACATGCAATGGTACCCCCAATTTTGGCATACCCCCATTGCAATCTGCAAGCTGCACATAGAATCGCAGGTGGCGCACTCCGCATTGCCAGAGGCCATGCGAATGAAATGGGCAAACGCTTGCAAGAGTAAGAGTGATCCGTGTAGTATCATGAGAGAACTAGACAGTTCCTGCGTTGAACTGTATAGTATCACGTAGAACTATAGAGCTGTAGAACTGTAGGGCTTAACTCGAAAGAAAACCGAGCAGGCAGAGGCACACGTAGAAGCAATGGCAGCCTAAGTTCTTCCTTGCTAGAGCCCACCCTGCATGAGTCTCTCGGGCCAGGTCTTGGCAGCATCTTGGCCGAAAATGTCTTGCGGATTAGTAGGGATGTGGACCGGGATACTTTCAGGAGGGGCGCGTTAGCTTCCAAACTCAAGGTCTTGCGTCGGAGTACGCTGCTATTTACTTGTAATTAGCTTGTTAGCCGAACTTGTGACAGGGCAAGACACAACATGCGTGACTTGTCAACATAAGCCCGAAGTGAACTCCTTGGGATGCGTAAGGAGAGGATAGCAGATCCGCCGCCACAGTGCTGGCAGCATCGGACCGACCGGGCTTGAGGGCAGTCATTCTGAGAATTAAGGGGCTGTGCAAAAGGGAAGAACTTACTTCATTGAGATGGCGCGCTGTCCGAAGGTCGGTCAGGCTGAGTGGATCTGGGATAGGTGCAGGAGCATGTCCCTACTTACTTGTGCGGTGTCAGGCGTGTAGAGATGGATTGCCAAACAATGATGCGGGTTCCAGGACCTTCGTGGCTGCTGTGGATTTGGACCTGCACGGGCGGGTACATGAGGCAATGGCTAATGGTGATTCTTGCGAACCTTAGCCCAACTGGCAAAATGCGTATACGCGTAATCTGCATGCAGAATGCGTCATCTGCATACGGACATAGAAGTGTTGGCCGCAACGGTGCGGAAGTTTGCATGTTTGTGGTTCGGTATGGCTGCTTCTTTTCATCACATCAGCGCTGTCCAAGCCCTCGCGCGAGCGCTGACGCGGAGATTTGCGAAACTTCTGATGCAGGCAACTTGCCTGGCATACATGGAGCGTGCCTTGGATGCATGGCAAGCGGCTTGTCAAGAGGACTGTTGAGTCGTGTTGTGTAGCTCTAGAACGGTTGATGGGACTAAGACGAAGTACAATGAGCTTCGAAGCTGCCGTTGCTTAGCCGTTGCGGCTTGCCCTGGCCCTGGCGGAGGCTGGCGCTTCTATGCTGCTTCAACTCAGGCCTACTCTCCGGAGCTCCATGGCCAGAGCAGTCCATGTGCCTGTATGACTGTGTGTGGCCACATGACATTGTGTAGATGGAATCTGGCCCTGGGAACGCAATCTGATCTCAGGCTGAACAAGGACATCCTGCGTGCCAGAACGCGGCAGGCTTACGTGGCCTACGCTGGTTCTGCCACAGCTGGTGCTACCCGCCACATTTTGGAACCCTTTTTCTTTGCGTACGTCCATGCTCGAAGCCGGAGACCCCCGCGTCTGGATCACTCACCGGTCCACAACTGATGCCTCAAGTAGAAGAAAGCTCTATTTTGCTTGGGATATCTTGGGATAGAGCAGACACAAACAGAACATGGTTCGTGTGGGTGCAGTGCCGGTTCGCCTAATGTTGGAGTTCAGCCTCAACGAAGGATTGCATTCTGGTTCGTTCCTGGACGCTTCCAAACTCAACTCAGCAGGATTGAAGTGTGGTGAGCGTTCTATTTTCGGAACTTGTAGCGTCTGTGGGCAGGCAAACCCATTCTTAGGTGTCTGGGTGAGCTTAGATGGTAGCCGGGATTCATATGCGACTTGAATGCCTGATGTCGTTTCAGCTCCTTCGCAGGCATGCTACATGGCGGCTCTGGCACCCCGTGTGGAAACCTCTACTTCACACATGTAGGTTAGAGCATGCCTACCGTTTGGCAGCGCGCAAGCTCAGCTTGGTGAGGAGTGTTAGCAATGAAACCTGCAATGTTGGTACTTGTTCCCCAACATCCTGCGCATACAGTCATAGGCGCAAAATGTACACCGCACCTTGAACGTTCAGCTCCTCTGATGGGATGCTCCTAAACCGTCCACCCATGTCCACTCCTAGATATCGAGTTATCCAGGACAAGGCGATCCTGCTTGCATTTGAAGTGAAGGCCGGCAAAGGGAGCGGAAAACGACGACACACCTCAGAACCTAGAGGCATGTTTTCGCATTTTGGCGAGGCCAATGGTGATGGGCGTGCTGGCCTGTCTAACTCGCTGCTGCTTAGCGGTTGCTTGGTCTTGGAGAAGGATATGGGCCTCACGTTCATGGCATGCGCAACATGTCAAAGTAACTGCCCTTAACCATGGGTGCAATTACAAGGGCCCCTCTGCCAACCCTAGGTGTGGAAGCCAGCCTTGCGGTATAAAATGTTAAGTAGGCCTTGCCGGAAGCACCAGCAAGCCAGGGAAAGCAGACTTCTATAAGCTGCAGCCCCCAACCTGAAATTCAACTCTTAATAATGGCAATCTCTACGTTCGGGAGTGGACAGGACATCAAGCCGGACGCAAGGCTGTGAATGCGTTCCACGGTTCTGAGCTCGCTGCGCAGAAGTTTCAACTTGATAGCCAAAGAGCTTCAACTCGGGGACACTGTAGAATTCATGTCCCTCCGTAGGCGGACCAGTTCTGCAAATCAGAGCTGCAGATCAGAAATGAGTCTTAGATTTGGACTCGGGCACGGTCATTGAAGCAAGTTTAGCTGCGATACTTGTTCATGCAATCAGATCAGATCGACACCTCCATAATGTTAAGATGCCTTGGTTGGGATGGGGCAGCCACTCGAGCTTGGGAAGCCAGGGCTCCAGGAAATTTGATCACCGCGACACTCGGCGAGTAGTCGTACTCAACCGGAAGCAGGGGTGCTGTGATGAAAGCTCGTCATTTGACATGCAGTGACCAGTATTATCCCTAGGGTATGCAGGTCAGCGAGGAGAATTGTCATGCCAGCACTGCAAAATTCATAGCCATGGGTTTTGTAAACATTGCAGCAGCAGACTACGGATACGCATCAGTTCCCTCCACCCCAAAACAGTCTGCTCCGCAGAAACAAGCAAATGGGCATGATTTTCCAGGCCTATAGAACGCGTGAAATGTTGCACTAACAGCTTCAGACAGCCCGAGACGAATATTGAATAGCGTGGCAAGGCTCTATGGTACAGAGGGCTTATGGATGTTCTGTGCGCAAACGTGGAGAGGGTTCCGGAATTCCTTTAACATGTGTTTGCCCACAGCGTCGGCTTAAGATCCAGGACTGCAGCGATGTTGGGCATTTGCTGGGTGGACAAAGTGGCATCCCACTAAGGTAAATGCATCTTGCGTCATACGTGCGTATACTATAGTGGACTTCTTTCAAACAGTCCACCTTGTTCTCCGAAAGCTACATCCTCCTGCCTGAAGCTGTGGTGTAAAAACGCATGGCGCCCAGGTCCGACCCTTCAGGAGGAGGTGCGCCGTCTCCAATCTGTTTCGGAGGCTGGCGCGCGGTACATCCTTGCAGTCGGGGGAAGTTTTCTGACTGGGGTTTGGGAAGGTTGCGGCGCAGCGCAGATACGGAAAGTTAGATCCCGTACTTGTTTAATTTCATGGCTGGGAACCGCACGGTTGCATTGTGACAGAGAGCATGACATGGAGACTCCATTGCTTGCATGCTCACTTGGTAAATGATGGCGAGCACAAGTGACCAAAGCCTTCTTACACAGCATTTGTGGCCTAGCGTTCCCCCCCCCCCACTCAGACACCCACCTACACACCGCAGCTACCCACCCACATGTCCGCGTGCCCATTGCTCCCCCACCCCACCCACCTACTTAACCGTACACTGATATTCGTACAGAAACAACAGCAGCAGCAGCAGTTGCCATCATCGCCGTAGCAGAGAAGGAGAGCAGGAGTACTCGTTGTTGTCCTGGTATTGGAGGAGGAGCGATTGGGTCTGCCTGACATTGGACAGGACTTGCAAGAACAGCTCACGGTTGTCTGTGACGAGAGAGACTTGGTGCCGAACCTACACCTGGCAATGATTCAAGAGTGCATACCATTGTGATTTACAAAATTGGCGCCCGCTGTCAGCTCATGCCAATCCTGCAAGTCATAGCTCCTAGAGTTACCATGTGGAGCTTGTTGTCAGACCCAACCCAACACCTTCTGAAACAGCAACTTGTCGACCATGGTCGAGCGAGAGGCGCGTGCTCACGAAGAGGAGCTCTTCTACGCCTGGGGAACCAAGATTTTCACTGGACTTCTGTTCATGGTTGGGTTGTATGACTTTTGCACGTGCCCAGAGTTTGAAGCTAGGAAGGCCAACGAAGAGAGCAGCTGCATCCCTTGGCACATGCTATGTTCTGAATTGAGCAAAACCCTCGGCCCCTGCCAGCGTGCAGATCTCTCCAAGCTCAGAAAGACATGCAAGTTCCATGCACCTGTTCCAACAAGCTCAGGTCATCTCTGGTAAGGATGAAGAGCTTCTGCACGCGCCCGGGGCCTGGTCTGTGGACATCTCTTTGTACCCTTATCCCTATAAATATACCCCATATACTATAGTAGTTTCCATTTTATGTTCCATTATCCCATTATAACCCCAATATTATAGTAGTTTCCATTTTATTTTCCATTATCCCTATATAACCCTATATTAGCTTCTGACCTCCTCAGAGAACAAAGACAAATCCAAGGCACGCAGCCTTGGCGGACCTCGCAGAGCAGATGAAGGCAAAAGGGTATAATATTAGGGTTATAGGGATAATGGAAAAGAAAATGGAAACTACTATAATATTGGGGGTTATAGTGGGATAATGGAACATAAAATGGAAACTATTATAGTATACGTATAGGGAATATGTAGGGATAATGGAAAAGAACATGGAGACGCCATATTATAATAGGGTATCCCACACATTCCGCCGGAGTTATAGGCTTTGAGCAGTTGAGGTGTGCTAGAAGAATGGATCTACCATGATCATTTGCGCTAGTGGACCTTCAGAACTGCCTAGTTGGAGGGTGGGCCTCCATGGACATGGCCAGGTTCAGATATTCTGTAATCTCAACTCCTGAAAACGGGTATATAGAGGATGATATAGGGGAGTATTGAGAGGGGGATACTAGTTACTAGGAGTTTAGACTACGGCTCAGATTCAGTTCTGAGATTGCCGGTGGGGTAGGTACTGTAAAAGCCCGTAGGAGACAGCCTTAGACTGCCATCCAACATCTCTGTTCTCAATCGGGTTGTCTAGGGCGCTAGGGACTCCAGGGCTCTTGAGATAATGTAGGAAATATTGACCGTGGTTCATATGATATCCCGATAAGTTTTAATCAACAACACCTGTAAAATCCGCTTACCAGGCTATGCTGGTGGAAACCTCGCCATTTCTCCACAATGTATCTCTGACCCCATGGAAGTCCTTACCCTCCTATGTAGTTCCTCCTTACTCTTGTTATGTCTTTTTGGTACGGGATTTTTGTTGACTACCCAACACAGAGCTACGTAGGAAGGTCTGGGTAAGCTCGTTCCCTCATATGCAATCTTTTTGCACTTGGAGGAGCGGCAGCTTGAGGACGGCCGGGGAGTGATCTCACGGTGCTGCCATACATGCGCCCATGCTCGAAAATCATGCTATGGACATGGTGTGCTTCCTTCAACTTTTGTTGTGTGTAAAGAGCCCCTGCTTAGATGCCCCATGTTGCAAAGAGGCGCGGTACTTGGAGCATACCTTTTGGGACGGTCATGGTTGCAAGCTACCGCTTGAGCCCGGAAGAAATAAACAAAGATTGGCTTTCAACAGTGTGGAGCCAAAAATTGGAACACTGCAGGCCCTGTATCAGACAAGAAGTGTTTCGCACACAGACTTTGGAGCTCAAGCAGACCAGATTGCAGTGAAGCATGCTACCCACCAGGTCTGTAAGTGCTGCCATGCGCTGGCCAGGCGGATGCTTGGTGGTGCGGAATTTGTTGGAACACCCTAATTCCAACCGCTTCTTTGGATGCAGGCGGCCCCAGCATGTTGCAACTTGGAGGCCTTTGGTGTGGGCTCGTTCTCGCCGTGCTCCTTTTGCACGAGCAGGTGAGTCAAGTGCCGTGAGGAAGGCAGGCTGGTGGTCGTGGAACTTGTTCGCTTGGTGGGCGATAGTCATCGTGAAGGTGTTGCAAGGCGGCACTGACTTGGTGATGTGGTCGGCGTTTGTGGGGCTCCTGATGCTCTTGTGGTGGATGCGTGGGGTACAAGTGGAGCGCGGCGCCATGGCTCATTTCGCTTTGAGAGGGGCCACTCTTGGTTTAGCCCTTTCAGTTCCAATATCTTCGCTCGTGCTGCGACTGAGTGGGGTATGCTCGCCAGACCTCGCCACCTTCCTTGAGTCGACGGGCGCCGTGGGTGCAGCGGAGGAGCTCTCGAAGTTCCTCGCCCTCATATGGCTCTCCTGGTCTGGCACAATGCCTTGGCGCCGCAAGCTCTCACCCAGGTGGCCAAACACAAAGAAAGGCATCATGCTGGCCGGCTTGTGTGTGGGAATTGGCTTCATGGTGATCGAGAACAGCTTGTATGCACCCAGCTTTGTTCAGAATATCCAGGAGGACATGCTTCTGGCCAACTTGCTTGGCGATGAGGATGCTCGTGAGTTCCTGTCTGTGTTGTTCGAGCAGTTTGTCTTCTTCCGAGTTCTTATCAATCCACACCCATACCTGACGGGCATTGTAGCTGGCCGATTTGCAGCATGCGAGCACAAGAAGCTAGACCAGCGTTTGTCAGTCGGCATCTTCTGGAAAGTGTTGTGGCCTTCTGTGGTCTTGCATGCGCTATGCAACTTAGCGGATGGATTTTGGGTGAAGGTTGGGGGCATCGGCATGTGCATCTGGGCTTTTAGAAGGACCTGGTACAGCTTGGAGAAGCTAGAGGCGAGTGACACAGGCCTCGTTTAAGGCACCTTCAAGCCATCTGCTTCGTATCTTGTCTGCTGCTTGGAAAACAGACCAGCGCAGGGCTTGGCTCTGTTCTTGCTAGCGCAGGCTTTCGCACACGCAGGTATTGCCCTGCTAGAAATCTCCTCGCAGTTCTGTATAACCGTTAATCTGGCTCATGGAGCATTCTGGGAATGAGTGACAGCCTGTACAGAGGGATATCTCGGTGATGTTCATCACTGGCCAGCTATGGACCTAAGCTTCCAAGAGGAATACTGACCGTCCCAAAGTGATATTACATAGTTTGCTGTCGTCATTATGCGGTCATTACAGTACTGTATCGTTTGCTGGATTAGAGACGCATTTGGCATGAATGTCTGAGCTCACCAGCTTTGTGGAAGTTTGGGGGTTGACAGTACAGCGCACTTGGGTGGTATAGTTTGTATGGATCCGGAGTAAGGCTACGCCTCTTGGGTACTCGCATCTTATGTCACGGCAAGAACCTTGTCTTACTTGAGCTCAACTTATTTAACCACTCACCAACAACCAACTGCCAACTGTTCAAGACCTCGCTCTGCCCCATTTTCCAGCCCCCGACAAACCAACCTTTGCAAGCATCATATTAAG